AAATATAAATTATAAAATATTTTTAACAATACAATTAATATTTAAATATTAAAAATAAATAATAAAAAAATAAAAATTTTGTTTGAATTAAATATAATTTTTTAACTTTCTTTCATTCTAGAAAAATCATAGGTTATCTTCAGAGTCACCATGATTTATATGTTGTCCCACCTAAATCACATGAGCACGGCACCAATGAGATTGTGCGGCAGGGCCAGGCTTCATTTAAACCTTACTATAATAAATCATTGTCTTTGTCATAGTTATTAGCCACCTCTTTTTATAATGAAACATATGTGTAAATTACATGATCATAATTATCAAATAAAAATGTAATAAAGACATATTATGTCAAAGGCTGAAAATAGAGTAAATTAGACTGGACAAAGGCCTCCAAAACTCAAATGAACCAAAATCAACCCAATGACTCCATATTTATTTGACTCCTCAAATAAAAGTCAACATAAGCAATAAGGCACATTTAACTCATGTTTATACGAACACATGCTTTAAAGATATGTTTAACTCAAAAATCTATCATTTGCATTTTCGAAATGTAATCATATTATTATAGTTACAAAATGTCTCATAACATAAGAATATGCATTTTTCAAGTGGTTTATAAAACCAAGTACATTAGAAGTGTATTTTCTCCAATTATTGTCCATTTATACGATAAATCAACGAAAGAACAAACTCTTATGATTTATTTATCAAAATGTCCAAAGACCAATATATGGACATTTTACAAGAGTTATAGAATCCAATATGCTCGGAGATGCAAATCTCAACAAGTAATCAACACATTGATAAATATCAATAATATATTTTAATACATCAAAATAAACATTTTTGACATGTACATATTTTTTACAAATCAACTCGAACTCACCTTGTTACGTTAAGTTAAACCAGGTTTTCAAACCCATCTCTAAATTCTCAAGGATGTAGATTTGAAGCCCACAAGCAAAAACTTCTAGAAATCTTCTCAAAGCCACAACCTAAGTCTCATCCAAATCTTGAGATCACACCCATGATTCTTCAATCTCCATGATCCCCTTTCCATTGCTCCTAAAACCTCTCTTAAATTGGCCTTCAAGAAGGTCAAACCGCCCAGAAGGAAGGAGGAGGGGAGAGGATTGAAAAATAATGAAGAAACCCTAGAAAAATCAAGTTTAGAATGGATAACACGAACACGATTTTTGCCGCAGCTAAACCCACACCAAAAAAGTCTCCCACATCTAAATCTTGGGCAAACAAACCCTAATGCAGGTTGTGGTGTGGCCAAACCCGCTTGGTATCCCACATTGCCTTCTTGTTGATCATCAAATAGGGGTGCAAAACCCGAATGGCCCGAAATTCAAACCCGAACCCGAACTCAAAATATGATGTTTGTGCAAAACCCAAATACCTCGATCTTCGAGAATTCGAAACCTGACTTTTGAGGGGATACTTGGGATCGGGTGTGGTTTCATCTCTAGCCATCCGATCCATCCGAAAACCCGATATATATATATATATATATATATATATATATATATATATATATATATATTCTATATCAAGTTATCTTTTGAAAATACTAAATTCTAGTAGATTGAAATGTTTTCTAATTTCTAAACTTATATCGATTTCATCAATTATCTCAATCGATTGAATTCATTCTAAAAAATGATTGAATATATATACTTTTTGCATTATAACAATACTCGAACCTGTCCGACACGTCCGATGCACACCCCTATTCCCATATGCCTCTTTCTTAGGTCTTAACATATAGATTCACTCGATATCATTTTCCAACAATTAAACTTAATATAAGGTGCATTTAAAGGTCAAATATCCAAGGGAGCAAAATTTCAAGTGTTACATGAGGGAAATCTCATTGATAGAGGTTGAAACAATGATATTTTATAATAACCGATTTCAACAATATATTGTTCGATATAAAACAAATCGAGGACAAAGAAACTCACTTCACATTTCAAATTGCGTTTATCGATCATCTATGCAAAATGTGTTAATTTTACTTATATCATGTACCAACCAACTATACTTTGTATTAATATATTGGTATATGTTGGTATGATTTATTTATACAAATTATACTTCGTACCAACATCACAAAAGTTGAAGCCACAAATTTATTTATAATGACATGTTTACCAACTATAATTATTTACATTAAAATCATCGAGTATTCAAATAACATGTTGATATGTGTTGCACCAATTATTTCTACCTATTCAAACATTCATATAATACAATCATTCATTAATAGTTTAATACAATCGGCCCTTGAGGAGCGACGATGGACCGTGGAGGCATGAACGAGTTACTCAGGCTGTTAGGATTAGACGAATCAATTCAATCAAGTTTTATATATTCATTCATATTATGATTTAGTAAAAGTAAAAATAAGATCATTAAAAATTTAAAAATCAAAACATATTGTATTATTGACTAAACTTTAATTAATAAATAATGTAAAAATAAGTTGATACAATATGTTTTTACCGTGATATACGACTTCTAATACCATATAATAACCATATTTAGATATTTATATGATATTACTTAAAAAAATTAAATTAATATGATTAATACAAAGAATAAATTAAATACAAATTTAACACCCACTCAGAAAACTATCCAAATAACCTTTTATGCTGGACATTCTTCATGAGTTGTCTTGAATGTGCAATAATTAAATTGAATACTAAAAAAACACAATTCTTATCGGATCCCACGGACCCACCCACGATTAAAGGTGTGATGTATTTGTGTCCCAATTCATGATACATCATGTCCGACTCGTTTTTATTAGTTATTAGAAGGATATTTGTAATGCAGTGAGATACATCTCGATTTTAATATTTTGTTTTATTTTGTCTTCTATCGATGTTATAATATGATTTTATGTGGTTTTGAGAAAAATGATAATGTTTTTATTTTTAAATAAAATATAAATTTGAAGATATATTAAAAAAAATAAAAAATATATCGTGATTAGTATCAAATTAACTATTTAAAAGTTCCTGTTTTGTTTTGTAGTTTCTTTAGTTCAATTTTTAATTATAATTTAATTTAATTTTAATAACGAAGTGATTTATTTTTTATTTAATAATATAATTTTTTATAAAGATAATATTTAAGTATTCAGTTATAATACAATGATTATCTTTTTGTATATTTAAAATGAAATGTATATTCAATATTTGATTATGTTTATCTGCAGTTAGGTACACGAATTCAATCATTGAGCTTTAATAAGTTGTACTTATGCATTATTTACTTGTAATATTGAATTTTAAGTAATATGCATCAATAAACAATACTTTATGTATAAATAATGATTTTTAAGAATTTTTGTCAATGTTTTATAATATAACTAGAAGGGTGCTCGCATAATGCAGCGAGATACATCTCGATTTTAATGTTTCGTTTTATTTAATTTTGTATTGGTCGATGTTATAATACGGTTTTATGTGGTTTTAAGAAAACGATAATGTTTTTGTTTTTGAATAAAATATAAATATGAAATTATCATAAAAATTTGAAAAAAGAATATTGATATTAGTACTAAACTAACTACTTAAAATTTCTCGGTTTTTTGTATATATCTTTAATTCATTCTTTATTTCTGGTTAATAATATAATTTTTTATAAAGATAATAATTTTAGTATTTTGTTAGAATTCAACAATTTATCCTAATTATATTTAGATTTTTTATATTTAAAATAAGATGTTTATCATCTATTTGATTATGTTTATCCGTAGTTAGTTACACGAWTTCAAACATGAAGCTTTAGTAAGTTGTATTTACACACAATTTACTTGTGATTTTGAATTTTAAGTAACATGCATCAATAAATAGTACTTGATGTATATAAAATGGTTTTAAGAGTTTATGTCAAATACTTTATAATATAGTATAGAAATAAATAAAATTTATATCTTATTACTTATCTCAACTAGACTAATTTATTAAACTACATGTTTCGTCCTTAGGTTTATTGAATATTATTGTTTTCGTTTTTTTTTTAAATTATAATTTTTTCGGTAATTTATAATTCATTGTCGTTCTTGTTCTTGTGCTGCACAATTTTTATTGTTTTCGCCTCTTATATTTATAGAAGAAGACGATAATAAATTATAAACCACATAAATAAAAACCATAATTTTCAAAGCAGGAAAACGAGAATCTTTATATTTAAAATATAAAACTACTTGGAAAAAAAAAATAGTTGACTCAATTTATTAGCTTACATTATTGACTTGTAGTTTATAATATTCATTAAAGAAATAATTAATTTATGATTGTAATGAAAATATATACATTATAATTAAACTAGAAGCGTACGCAATGCAGTGAGATACATCGTGATTTTAATATTTCATTTTATTCTTTATCTCAGTCGATGTTATAATATGACTTTATGTGATTTTGAGAAAGTGATGATGTTTTTATTTTTGAATAAAATATATGTTTGAATATATCATAAAAACTTGACAAAAATATATCGATATTAGTATCAAATTAACTATTTGAAATTCCTCATTTTTTGTGTAATTTTTTAATTCAATTTTTTATAATTTAATTTATGT